GCCCTAAACCCTAAACCCTGGATGTCCACCGAGGCTATGGCATGACCTTATTCAAGGTCGGCCTCTTGCTTCCAAAGCGTGGGGGGCATCTTGGGTTTTCGGGTCACCCAGTCTGTGTCACTTTGGACTTTGCTTAGGGTTATAAGGGCAGATTACCGTTCTCAAGTCTCCACTGCATCCAAGCAAGAACTCTCCAAAGTCACAGGGAAGTGAGGACTGCTCACTCGCATGCCTTCGGTTTTGGGGTTTGCAGACTTGTTATGGCTTGGCAAGAAAAGGCTGCTGAACACTTCGACTTTGCTGCGGGCTGTGGCCGGGCAGAGCTGTTTGTGATGCATGAGGTGGCACACGTCTGCACTTGTTCTAAAACTGCCGAGAGATCTCCTTGTTATTTACATTATGGTGCCAGCTGTGCTTCAGTGTTCCCGAAATGTCTTGGAGCCTGTTGGTTCAGAGTCGTTCATACCCTTCAATTGCTTGCCAAAGCGAGTTCTTGAGGAGGGCCTGAATGATTAAAGAACATGGCTCGTAGAGATTCGCACGTCGACCTTTCAGTTCGGACATCATCTGTTCGAAAGGGTGGCGTGCTGGTGTAGTATATGGTATGCTCCTCGGGTCGAGGCACTAGGATTTGCGGTTGCGGGGTTAGTTCTGCTTAGGGCTTTCACTTTCTGCATCGGCTTATAGCCTGTTCGAGTAGATGCTTACCCAAAGATCCCGGTCCGTCAGCATTTCTTCTTGCCTCAGCCTTGCACGATCTGAATCCCAAACTCTAGACTTAGACTGGCAATCAACGCACCCTACCTCCCCCTGTCTTCAACATAAGTTCTGGAGCCTCAAGAAACCTCGCCTGCATCCTGAACACTAGGTCTTTATAAACCACGATCAACCCCTAGATCCCACCTGATTGCAGAGTCTCCGCACCCCGAATCCTGAAAAACTAAGCATGCCAGAGCCCGGAATCCTCACGTCATCGGCACCCATCACCCAGGTGCCGAAGTTGTGGGAAAGACAGAGCACTGGTGGCTCAATGTCGCCGCGTTGTCGCACTCCATATCAGAACTCACAATTGCCAGCAATAAGGCGCCATACATTCAGCGACTGTTAGTGCTGAGGCTCTGGGACGTTCCTTACCTCAGAAACGTTTTTCTCCCGCCGGTGGAAGCCAAGTGTTTAGAGTCTATGCCACTCTCCCGATGTTGAAGCCCTCATGACTAAGAGCCGAATGTTGCAGCTCCTGCAGTTAAGTTCTAGTGAGAGGGCCCGAGCATGAAGGTGAGTAGTTACAATGGATGTCAACAAAGTCTAACGAATCTTAAGTTCTGCTTCTTCTGATGACTCAAGTCTGCGTTCAACGACGAGGAGCTATATGTACTTGCTATCTTTGCGCTGGCCGTCTGCGTTATCCAGGCACCCGTGATGAGTTGATGACATGACATTGACTTCGGAGGTGTAACCCTAAAGCCCTGAACTCTAAGGGATGCCAAGCTCCTGGGTCAGGGCTGGGGTCGTTTAGGGCAAGTTTAGGGGTTTTGGGGCTATGATAAGTAGGCTCAGGTCTTTTGAGGGCTTCCGTCTAGCAATGAGAATGCAAGGGCTGTGCAACATAGTACCCATACGCCAATCCTGCTCTGGGTTTCCTTTAATTATCTCATAGTAATTAAGTAGGGAAGTAGAAGGAGGAGTTTATTCATTGCCGGGTGATCAGATCTGTGGACATGGTTCTTTACGAGAAAAACGCTCAGCGGAGAAAGTCTCCCGCAAGGGTAGGGTTAAAGCTCTAGGGCTGAGCATCTAGGACCATTTGGGTAGTTTTCTAAAATAGGGTCCCTTTGGGGTCCTTTTTATAAGGGTGCCGTAGTATATTGGGGACCTAAACAGGGACCCTAATTTAGAGAACTACCCCTACCCTTCTATAAGCCCTATATAAACCCTTATAGATCCCTTTAAGGAACCCTTTAAAGGGTTTAGGGATTGAGGGGCTGTGGCTTGTTTCGGCTTTTGGTGGCGTCGGGCTTGCGCATGCCAAATGCGTGTCCCACACGGAAGCCTTGCCAGTTTCAGACCTTGGAGGTTTTGCCTCTTATAATATGTTTAAATATTATATGTGTTATAGAATTATAGAGTATATATATATATGATAGATGGATGACATAATTATTATGTATTATAGAACTATAGGTTATATAAAATATAGATGATGTATTATAAAGCTGAGCAGGACTTGACAGCGGCCAGCGGGGAATCCTCATCTGTGCCCACTTCTGCATGGCCTATATTGCGTCCTGGACCTGAAACTCTTGATCCATTGAACCGTTCGAACCCGATAATATATCATCTTATATATATATATGTAGATAAATGTACACTCACACACGTAATCAATCTATCAAACAGCCAGAACAGCCCCGGCAGGTTCACACGCTGAACTTGGGTCTTCGCAGCTCGGCGTGTTTCCGTTTACTTGCAGGTTTATTCTTGTGGCGGTGATGGTCGCGACGACGAGAAGGAAGAGGACGACGACAACTCTGATTGTGATGACGACGACTTTGACTGTGATGATGGTTGTGAGGAGTAGTAGTCGTCGTCGTAGCAGCAGCAGCAGCAGCAGGAGGAGGAGGAGGAGTACCAGTAGTAGTCGTAGTAGTAGTAGTAGTAGTAGTAGGAGGTATCAGTAGCAGAAGCAGCAGCAGTAGCAGCAGCAGCAGCAGCAGGACCAGTATGTGGGTATTGCTGTTGCGTATCATGGCGGGGGGCTTCTGCATTTTCCCGTTTCAGATTTCATTGAGTAGGCCCTGTCGATGGCCAAAGTAGCTCTGCAGAAGTTTCGCGGATGAGGGCCTGGGAAATACAGTTCGAGGCAATACTACAAGTCAGTCTCTATACCCGCAACTCCTATTTCACTTGCAATTCGAGTCTTCCGCTATTCCAGACCTCGAGACCCTTGGCCCAAATTCGAAAACCTGGCCGACGAGGACACGGCGAGGTGGTCACGATCATCCCGACCTTCTTTGCCTTGGGGGTTCTCTTCTCCCTTTTTCAGGCCTTTTCTATGTCCTTTTGGGGCATCAGGGTAGTCTTACATAGGTTTCAGGGGCTGGAGATGAGGCTTGGAGGTTGTTTCGGTTGATACAGTCGAAAACAAAAAATCAAGAAGGACTGAACACGAGGACAGGAGGAAGTTTTGCCGAAGCAGTTAACCACAGGCAATGGACAATACGTCAGCCGCTCGGAACCCCAAAGCTGCACACACCCTCCGCGCCTAAAGCCAAACCCCAAAAGCATAGTCCTTACGCTTGAAGCCTTCAAGCCTAAATCGTAATCCGAGGCCCTAAACCCTACTCGCACCCCCTGAATCACCAATCCAAGGGTCTCCGGACTCATAAGCAAGGCAGAGATGGCCTTTGGCGAGCTGAATGATCTCGGAGGAGCCACCCACATCGCCGCCCAGACGTGGGTTTAAAGAGGGGTTTGTGGGCAGAAAAAGAGCATTATTACCGGGTTTGGAAGGAAGTTTGGGAGGTTTCATTAGAATGTCAACAGCTGACCTTCTGATGGGTGTTGCAGGCAGGAAGCATGGAATCTTGTCTTCCCCTGGTGGAATGTGAGGTTACACTCGATGTCGCTGGGTTTCGTAATTTCGAAGCCGCTCTGCCGAGGTAATGTTCGTTGCCGGCGTCGTGCTGGTGATTGGTAGCACGCTGGCTCTGCTCCTCCTTCAGAGAGATGAAGAGGAGGATCAAAGCTTTCGATGACTTGCTGTCTGCCGGCCGTCCGAACTTACTGTGCATGCGCATGGCATTCACTGCAGACGGATGCTGCAGTGATACTTGGAACTACCACTAGCCGCGCTACTCCTGTTGCTAGGCCGACACCTCCACCACAACGGACGGCTGTTCGTAAAAATGAACTGCCATATGCATGAAGGGTATGTCTGTCTGATTGCCTGTATGTATGTATGTGTGCATGCATATGCATATGTATGTATATATATATATGTCTTCACATGATATTTGTACAGAAACGTATCAACAAAGCATACATACATATACATATGTCGCAGTGCTCCAGCCTACTAACAGGTGCCCAGGGAGAACTTAATTTGCTGGTGTTGTTCCTTCTCGTCCTGCTCCTACTGCAGCAGCAGCTGCTACTGCAAATAGTATGGCTACTTCCACCACGAATATTGACTGTACTACTACTCCCAACTCCCATGCCTCGACCCCATCATCATCATCATCATCATCATCATCATCGCCATCTCCATCAGCATCAGCAGAGGTTTGTTAGTCCAAGTCAAATCAACCTGGTTACTGCTACTTCGGCGATTCATGGAGGAGATCGTCAAGATCGCAGATGCCCAGGACGAAGAGCGTCTCTTTGTCTGAAATGTGGGCGTCGGGTGCAAGTAAGAAATCATACGTCACACCTTGGAAAAGACAACTTCTCGATGCAAAGGCACCAGTTGCTTGGCCCCCTCAGTTCCCAAGCCTAAGCCCTACACTAGGCCCTGTAATGTACAAGTACAAGCCTTCAATAATTACCAATATTACTGTTGGGGTTCCCTCTTATGTCATACTATAACGGAGCCCAAACCCTACTCTAATTATTAAGCCCCCTATGTTACATTCGAGTGTAGGAGCTCGGGGCCGGGTTTTGATTTCCTGGCTATGAGTTTGCAGGGCTTTGTGAGGCGTTTGAATTTGGGTTCGGAAGAATTTGGGGCTTACGCTGAGTAGTGACATCATCAAATACAGCTTGGAGGTGTAGAGGGTGTAGGGTTTTAGGGTTTGGGGTTTTAGGGTTGGGGGTTTTAGGGTTAAGGGTTTTAGGGTTTAGGATTTATTGGAGGTCTAGAGGGTTTAGGCTTTAGGGTTTAGGGTTGATTGGAGGTGTAGAGGGCTGACAGCTTTGTCCGAACCCCTTCTCCCGCATCTTGGGGAGGTAAGCTGTAGGCCATCATAGCTACCATTCGCGGACTGTTGCTCAAGTGAATAACAAGGGGAGTGTGGCCTCACACACTCAAGTGATCCGTAGTTACTCTATACGGCCCCACAGGCCCGAATCTTGAAACCAGGAGCCTCAAAATCAGAGTCGCAAGGGAACTACAGGCGAGTTTTGCAAGACTCCCAATCCCAGTCGCGGACGTTAAAACCGCGGAGTCTTGGGCTTCAGGTATTGAGTTGACAGTTCCCGCAACTTTTGATATCCATTTCACAAACATCGCCGAGGTTTGAAAGGTCTAAGCTGGCAACAAGTCTCGGGCACTAGAAGTATGACCCTAAACCCTAAACCCTAAGCCGTAAAACCTAAACCGTAAACCCTAAACCCTAAAAGCCGTATGCATTGGCCATGACGACAAGGGGAACCAAAAGGCTGCGCCTTGAAGCGGAGGCTCCCGGCAGCGCAGAAGGCCCCACAACAGCCACTGCGGAGCAGGTCAGCGATGTGCGCCTAGAGTTCGGAGAAAATGGTGAGGATTCCATGCCGGCAAACTCTGCTTTACTTCGGATGGCATCTCCAGTTTTCAACCGCATGTTCACGAGTGGCATGAGGGAAGCGCAACAAGGCGTCATCAAGGTGGAAGTGGCCAGCAAGGAGGAGTTCAAAGTGTTCTACGATTTTTTGCTACCTATGGCATGGGGTGCTCCAGTAACCGTGGACAGTGTTGATTCGCTTCTTGCAATCAGCGACTACTACCAGGTTGAGATCATCAAACAGCGATGCGAGAATTATCTGCTTCGCTGTGCACCCACTGGCAGTCGCCTGCTGCAAGCGCACAAACACGGCCTCACAAGTCAATACGAAAGGTGCATTGGTGCCTTGGCCAAGAAAAGTACGAAGGCGGACTTGGCGGTGCTCCGGTCGCAGCCGGACATCTTGTTTGATCTAACTCTCCGGAAGCAAGCCATTCTGGACCGACTCAGGGCGATGAAAGGTGAAATCGTCAAGCACCAGGCTGCAGTGGAACCGAAAAATCCAATTTTTGAAGATGTGGACTTTGCCAATGGGCGTAAGTTTTCGATGTCCTCCTCCCAACGAATATCTGTACTTTTGAGGGCCCGGCCGGGATTGAGAGTTTTCTTAAGAAGGCTGCTCCAGGAATTGAAGTGATCGTATCTACCATCGTTGGACTTCCAAGAACACGACGGCTGACAGCACATGCTTCCGGATGCACAGCCAATGAAGACTGCGCCGGGATACGCCGGAAGAGCACCCACTGGACCATGAGTGCAAAAGCAGGCTTGGGCAGCGGCCTAAATGAATAATTTGCGACTTAGGCAAGCTTTATGAGGTAGCGTTGAGATTGCACTGCTGCCGACTGTTTCATGCTGACCATTTTCGTATTTCTATGAGTAAAGTTATTAACCTCAGAGGCAGGTCTAGACAGAGAGGGTTCAGTATTTTATACTTGAGCAGTCTCCGTGGCTTTAGGATGAGTGGTTGGGCTCGGAGGTTGTGGAACCTGTACTTAGTTCTCTTTTGGATCGCCCTCCGTCCCAGCTATTTCCAACTCGCACTTTAGGGAGCGCAGCACAGCTGAAATGTCTGGATAGCCTTAAAGGAGCCTCTGCAAACAGTTCACGACATTAAACAATCCTGAATTTCACTGACTGAATCCTAAATCCGAATCTGGCCGTAAGCCTAGACCCAAGACACTAAACCGTAAACACTGGCTCTGCAGTCCAAGGTGTCCCGCTCCTTCATGATCGGCGGACGAATTCAGAGCCTACGCTCAGGCGGATACTGGGTCGCTTACGACTTAGGGTCTTTAGTTTAGGGTTTCAGGTTCGGGGTTTCGAGGGGTTTTGCATTGAGGGTGTCGTGTTTAGGCCAATCCTTATACTAGCAATTGGCATCTAAACGAATTCCTATAACATAAGGAAATGAACTTAGGGCCTTAGTAATTCGAAGATGGTTCCTTTACGGAAATCTGTCAGGTTATCGGAGTCTTTAGTGTTCTCTTACAGGTCCTGCTCCTGTGATGGTAGTGCGACGGAATTGTAAGCCTTTGCCACTACTCCAAATCGACTCGCATGCCGAAAATGATTAGGTCCATATCATGAGGACCCCGCAGAAAGGATCCCAGGTTTGAAAATCACCTCCCAACTGCGTAGAACTGGAAGTCAGAAGATGCTGGCCAGCTATAGCCGAGGAATTCCTGGAGTATCTCTCATCTGAGAAGCTCGGATGCAGTTGAACTGTAGCGATTCGGGCTTGGGGTGTCACTTTCATTATAGCTTGATGAGTTTGTTTTCTGTCTTGGACATGACCTGCCGTCGTTGCATGCGCATGGGGCATCGCGAAGTTCCGAATGCTTCACCAAAGAAGCGGTAACCAGATCCCTAGCTAACACTCCCGAATCCAGGCCTAAACCATTCTTAGGCTGTAGCAACATCCTGAGGTATGGTTCCCAACAAGAGTTTCGACAGTGCGACTCGGCCATGCAGGAATTTCAGGACCCTAACTAGAACCCCAAGTTACCAAAAAAAACCTAATCGTTGTCATGTGTATGGAGCTTTGAATAAGGTACCCTAATTTTCTGCAGTAGAACCCTTAGTCATAAGGGCCCTCGAATAAGGCACAGTACCCTTAACTTCCTCACCTTCGTTCGGGAACTCATTGCTTTTGCTATGGCGGCTTACTATTTTACTATGGTTCTACGGGCGCTTACTGTATGCTTTTGCTGAAGCTCCCAGAGTTCAAATCTGCCCGGTTTTTACATACGGTCTTGTACGATATGAGGCTATGTGGGCTATATTCTATTAAGTGAAACTGGATGGTACCAGCTTATATACACCCTAAAACCCTAAAACACTAAACCCTAAAGCCCTAAAACCCTAAGCCCTAAACCCTACGCCCTAAAACCCTAAACCCTAAGCTCTAAACCCTAAACCCTAAACAGAACCCATAGCAGCCCCTGCCCTGCGCCCCGCCAGGTCCAGGAGTTTACGCTCCTTTCTGTCACTGGGCCCATGGGCGTGGCCTAATATAGGGGCCTTAATAATAATGACCTGTGTTATGTAAGGAGTTCCTGATTATCAGAATAGTATATTATACCCCAAATCCGATAATTACCTGTGTTATTTTGGGAGTTCTTTATTATAAGAATAGTATAGTAATATACCCCAAAACCCTATTCTGAATTATGTTGAGGCCCCTATATTAAAGGCGTCTTCGCCATGCCCAGAGCTCAGGCTCCGCTTCTGTGAAGGTAGTTCTGCTTTGCCTGAGATAAGTATCCTGTGTTGCCCTCCAGGGGTCTAGGGTTAAGGGTTTGGGGTTCAGGGTTTGGGGTTTAGGGAGGGCGCTGGGAGACAGGAGGATCGACCTCGGCAGTCGGTCTCCTAAGTTCGGGTTTGGGGTTTAGGGGCTTAGAGGTTTAGGGTTTAGGGGCTTAGGGGTTTAAGGGTTTGGGGTTTAGGGTAAAGTCCGTAGCCCAGGGGCCGTTTCGGGAGCTTCCAAGGCTCCAGTAGCTTCGTGCCTCGGTTGCCGATCGATGGAACTGGGTGTTTATCCTAGCTGGGGGCTTCCGCGGGCCGCCTATGGTTGAGATTTCAACCCCAAGCATCAAGCTCCAAAACCCCCAAACCCTAAACCTTGGGGCTAAAAACAAGCTAAGCCTTGCTCTGTGGATTTTATAAACACCCAGCTGGCACATGGGCACAAGGCCCAGTCTGATGAGGTTCTCCGGTTTTGAGCTGAAGTCTAAGGGTTCTCAACAAAGGGGTATCTAACGGTTCGCGCAGTGGCC